CACGTTGCTCCATACACACTCCCCGCACTCACAAATCTTATCCTGTTTTCGCCGACATCAATCGCTACGATTGATGCGGCGGATGAATTTCTTCTCGTTCTTAACCTACTCGCGTTGACGAACAAGGATGGCAACGGCCAGGACGATGGTATATGTCTCCGCTTCCCCGGCTCCTGGCTCTCTCCCCCACCACCCGATCTCTCGATCGAGTGCATCTCATCCGTCATCATCGCGGGGGATTTTATTCTGGATGTTGACGATTTCGTTGGATTTCTCGCACCGTTCGAGCCAGGATTGAAGATGCTGGAGGTGCAGCCCGCGGCGAAGCGGACGTTTCAGCATATTGAATTCGTGGATAAGTTGCGCGGGAGGGTGCGGTGGTTGGATGGAATCACTTGTTTGAGGACTGAGTATGTGAGAGGCGATGTTAAAGGATTCGCTGAGGGAAAGGCGCCGGAGAAGGCTGATGTCAAATACGATGACGAATAATTTGGAGGTGAACTGACATCCGGACCGGATGAATTTGAATGAATTGCTTGATTTATGTTCGTACGTTGCGGAAGTTCTTGATGTGTTTCTGCAGCTAATTACTGCTTCAGTTTATCGGGTCTCTTTCGCCGCGCTCGAGGCAATGAGGGAGCGGCGGAAGAGAAACGAGAAGATGGAGATCCACGTGGGGTTCCCAACAGTTAACTGTTGGACGATAGGATTGAATTGTATTGATTATCTCTTCAGTTTGCCGCTCTCAATTCATGATTGTCAAGGATCTGTTTGCAGGTTAATTCAGACATTCATACCAAATGGGCCGGGAGCACGGAAGTAAGTAGAATTCGATCGTACTTTCAGATATAATGCACTGTAGGGACGAGGACCTTTGTATTCCATTGTCTGTTTATAAGAGACCAACTTTGATCTATTCTTCGCGGTTTCCAAGTTATTGCGAGGCGCGAGTCTACACTCCTTATCCAAACCTGACGCTCAGGGCAGGATCTTGGACCTGTCGCGGTCCGCCGCCGGGGAAGATTTAAAGAAGGAGAAAAACACGGAGTCAGGTGACCGCGTTTCACGGTAAGCACCACGTTGCCATGGTCACACTGATGCCTCAACTGTATATCTCCCTCAACTGGCAATTCTTAGAACGTTCAAGTCGAATTGCGAGGGCATTCACATTAGCACAGACATTACCACACCCCGCGAATTAGCCCTATATTTTTTTTGTTTATTCCATCAGCAAAAATTTGGTTCAATTTTTTAGTTGCCGAAATGCCGCCGAGTGATAGTGATCAGTAAGAGTCACCAGATCCTTCTTGCCTCTGACCACCATGTCGCACCAAGAAGAGAGGACGTCTGAGGCGGCTACAAGAAAGCCTACGCCCCTTCCAAGGCTGCAACTCTTCATTCTCATCCTCATCCAGTTCTCAGAGCCAGTCACTGGTCAGTCTTGGATATTTTTTCTCGCTGAAATTTAGTTCATTGGCCTATTTGTAAATTCAGCCTTGGTCATCTACCCATTCATCATTCAATTCGTCCGAGATACCGGCGTCACGGGAAACGATGAAACAAAAACGGGCTACTATGCTGGATTGATTGTACGCATGCCGTATTTCGCGTTGTGAGCAGCCTACTAACTGTGGCCAGGAATCCGTTTTTTTCCTCGCAGAATGCCTGACGGTGGTCTACTTCGGACGTGCCTCCGATAAATTTGGACGTCGTCCTGTACTTCTCTTTGGTCCCATCGGTCTCGCAATCGCGATGTTTGGGTTTGGGCTGTCCAAACGATTCTGGAGTCTCGTCGTATGGCGCTGTTTTCAAGGAGCTTTTAATGGGAACATCGGTGAATGACTGCCCAACCGCTCCAACTGATCTTGAATGCTGAATGTGACTCACTTTAGGCGTTTCGAAAAGTGTGATGGCAGAAGTGAGTTTGGTTTTTTACCGTTGCTGATGGGTTCTGTTGACACGACCGAAAGATATCAGACTCGACAAACGTAGCTGAAATTTATTCCTTGCTTCCCTTCATGTGGGCTATTGGAACATCAGTTGGGTTCGTTGCTTTCCCGAATGCTCGCGTTATCGAATCTGATCTGATTTTTTGTATGAAGGCCGTTTATCGGCGGCTCACTGGCGAATCCTGCCAAGCGGTTCCCGGATTCCTTAGGCAAAATCGCTCTCCTAATCGAATACCCGTATTTCTTGCCGTGTGCCACGGCCGGTGCGCTGGCCCTATTCGCATTCGTCATTGGTTTCTTTGGTCTGAAGGAGGTAGGCATATCTTATCTGCCGTCAATTGTTTTGGAATGTTCACGTTATACGAATTCAGACCTTGCCATCCGCAGTTGCTCGTCAACGAAAAGCCAAAACAGCCACAGAGACGGAGCCTCTCCTTGCTGATTCCACCTTCACAGCATCACCAGTGGACGAAGAGGAAGCGCCCGTCCCCCCGCTACGTGACCTATTCATCAAACCAGTCATCATATCGCTCACCAGCCACGCACTGCTGTGTTTCTGCGAGAGTTCTTATGAGGTATTCAATATATAACCCGTTGTGTCAGTGGTAATCATAACCATTAGGTTCTCATGCCGTTGATATACGCCACACCTATAGATACGGGCGGACTTGGTCTGAGGTACGTTGATTTTTGCATTTCAGCGATTGAATCATGCATCTATCTTGCTTCAACGACATCCCAGCCCGCTATACATAGGCCGAATCATGGCCGTCCTCGGCCTCCTGAACATCTTCACCCAGCTCTTTCTCTCCGCACGCGTCATCCGCTACCTCGGCCCCCGCACAATATTCATCACAGCGTTCGCCTGCATGGCCTACTCCTTCCTCGCCTACTCTCTCCTCAACTTCTTCGCGCGGAGAGCAGGGAGGGTCGATGGCTGGGTGGTAGCGGTGTTGGTCACGCAATGGGCTACGAGTTTCGTTATATACCCGACCTTCGGTGCGTGCTATGCCAATTCTGTCTCGGCTCATTATTCATTCGTTTTATTTTTTGCCTCTTTTCACAGCTTGTACACAGATATTCATCGTCAACTCCGCTCCTTCACCGAATACTCTCGGCGGCGTCAACGGTCTTGCTCAAATGGTCGGCTCCACGACGCGGAGTATCGCTCCTTCCTTCGCGTCGTCAATGTTTGCCACTTCCATTAAACATAACCTGCTGCAAGGAAATCTGGCGTTTTTCATGTTGAGTGCGATCGCGGCGTATGGGTTTAGGTCAGCGTTTTTGTTGCCGAAGAAGCTGCGCGGAGAGAGCTGAGTGGGCCGTCTCACGAAATCGATCCAAATCTGGAAGGCTAGCTAGAAGCCGTGGCGTAGATATCTCACCGGATGAGTCGTGCATCATCGTCTTATCCACCGTGTATGTCGTATACTCAACTATAGACAGACATGTATCACGGTAGTTTCCTTGCTTTTCGATGCGTCGGTGGACATCAATCGGTGTCTTAGTGGCGGAAAAGGAGCAAGTGGGCGGAAGCAAAACTGTCTCACTCTCGAGACTGGAGTTCAATGCGGCGATCAAATCGCTCTTCTTCATCTTTCCTTTCACCACTTCGACCATCTATCTATCACCATAATGTCTGTTTTTGCTCTCACTTCTCCCTCTCGCGGCGCGGCTGGCCCGCCCGCATCTGTTCTCCACGATATCTTGGACTATTGCTCTTCTGATACTCTTGATCCTGCTTTCGACTCTCCTGCTCCCGACGTCGTTGTTGCCACGCCCACCTCCTCTTTTGTCCGTCCGAAACTTTCTACCAAGGCGGTCAGGGATCTCCCTGCTCTCCTCGCCCAGGCGAAAGCTAAATCATACGCCACTACTACCACTACTACATCTAATTTGGATTCGCTCTCTTCTTGTTTGGCATCAAAGGAGGTAAATACCATGTCCCACTCCCCTCCCTCAGTTTCAAAACCATAACTTACCCCTCGCTCCTATCCAGACATCATCCGAAACTCCCATCGGCCTCGGTATTTTCGTCCGCTCGTTGAGTCCTAGCTCGCCGACGTCGCCTCAGCTCAAACTCCTCTCCCCGCTCGAATACCGCCAGCCCTCCCCTGCGCTCGGCAGCCGCCGCAATATCCCACCGAACCCACTGTGTCGCAGAATCCAGCGTAGTGCGGCGCCGCTCATGGTTCGCAGCGGCGCCGTTCCTCCACAGTCCAATGCGAACACCATATCACCAGCCGTAGCGAACCGTGCGTCGAAGTACACTGGTCTCGGACACGGGCTCCCCACTTCGTTCAGGGAGAGCATAATTAGCCCCCGGATAACTTCACCTGCATCTTACCGACATGTCTCTTCTCCTCGCATCGCGTCCGTTGTCCTCTCAGCGCCTCCTGATCATCTGCACACCCAGTTACATCCCGAAAACACACAACAAATAGTTGCACGCGTGTGGGCGGCTGCTTTTCGTCGATTCGAAGCCCTGTTGAACCAAAAATCCAGAAATAAAGGTGGCGAGGAAGCGAAAAATACGAAAACCCAGAAGGAAACACGCTGAACCGGGTCAAGGTCGGGGTCTGTTGTCATTAGTCGAGAACAAACAGAAAAAAGGGTAGAATGATTCAATCGAGACTGAACTAAATATGTCGTCCTGATATAATATGTCTACGTCCATCCATATTTGAATTTCCCGTATGCCAGCCCCAGGATGTTTGGAAATTAACAGGGACGTGAGCTGAAGTTCCGAATTTTGGGGTCATTGCGATAATCACGCTTAATCACGCCACCGCGTTCCTCTGAACACGATCACGTGACAAAACATCCGCTTGCTCCGTGACGCGACCGGAGGAACGTCGAAGTAAGACTAGACTGGGCGTCCTTTACTTGAAATTTCGGGCATGATGGCTGATATCGTCGAGATGATATTATCATATCAAAGATATATATGTTGCAACGGGGCGGTCAGAGCAATACACTCCGGCTAACACTGACCCCTTATGACTCATTCGATGTCAGGATGGGTGAGGGTAAAAGAAAAAAAGCAACGAAGCGACCCGGCGGGAATTGAACCCACATCTTCTCCAACATACAACCAGCGACATGGAGCAGGGAGCAGAGATATCGTACCGTTGGACCACGGGCCACGAAAGAGAACAACAAATCGAGGTGGTAGATCACGAATGCTGAAACAACTGCTCAAGACGCAGAGTGGGTTTTACACCAAGAAATGCGGCTGGGTTATGTAAAGGATCGGAATTGATGTTAGGCTTTGCACATTACTGGCAGATTATGCCTGGAAAGAATTGAAGTGAGTCTCAGCTCTAGAAAGAAATTGAAGACTCCATGCGAATGACTCTTGCGCTATTACTAGACATGGATATTTCACGCGTACGGTCAAGCTACAGGTTAGACTGGAGTACCTGTTTGAAGGTTCCCGTTCAAATTCTCGTTCGACTGAGCATTGTACCTCGGGTTGTGCGACTCTGTTGGCAAAACAATAAAGAGTGAGTCAAGAACGAGTCTCAATGCCCCGACGAGAATCGAACTCGCAGTCTCCGGCTGTTGAAGGCATCGCATGCATGCTGTAGCCTGCGCGGTGTCGTACCATTAGACGACGGGGTGCAGATACTCCGTGACATGGGACGGTCTCTCCACGTCCCGTCAAAAACTCATCGGATCGAGTCATCCATCCAGATCTTGACAGAGATACTCTGTCTGTGAAGTAGGTAGACATGAAAGCCGGTGAGAAGATAATCGGCCCATTATCGGAAACATCTCGTTCTATATATTGGGTATAACTTCCCGGATGTTTAACTCATCCAAGTTTTGGTATAGCAATCACGCTGAAAGCGAATCTACAGAATACCCTGAACCGTAGCTTGAAGTCAGCTGTGCAGGCGGAATTTGATCGACAAAAGAAAGAAAGAGGAAGAAAAATCGATTTACGCGGTATTTATTTATTCTTGCTGTTTTTCTTTTGGGAAAACCTTGAATTGAGTGCTGCAGAAATACTAAACATAATACAGGTCGAAAAGATCTTGCGTGCAATTTTGTGTTGCAAGTCTGTCCGGCGATCAACCAAATCTGATCGGCAAATGACTCTTGCTCTCAACCTCCATGACCACCGACGTCTTTGCTGGCATTAGGAGTCTCCTTCGACGTATTTCAACCTCAGGACCCCTTCTCTCTTCCCTGGACTCTGTCTATCGGATTGTCGCTGGATTGAGTTCATTTGCGGAGCCGTCACTTGAGCAGCTGAGCTGGCAAGATAAATTTCGTCGAATCTCAACGATACATGAATCTCCGAGTCGGTACTTTCGACCTTCAAAAGCTCTCAGTCGGATTAGTTGAGAACTGTATCGATTTGGGGTATGAATGACCTCTGAGGTGTGCCGATCTCATCCTTTCGTACTGTGAGGTTCTAACTGCAGAGTTTTCCGAGTCCTTGGTGGTATCAGTGTAAGTATTCAAGCTATCACACGAATCGATTCCATTCACAACTTCACCGTCGTTATCCACTCCACAGTCCGCTTCGACCCGGATCATAAACACGTTTTTCACGCGTGCCCGGCTAAATTGGGACGATGCTATCGCGTTGCTTCATAACGCTTCCACGATCTCCACCTCCATCCACCCACCGCAATCCAACCCTTCCATGTACGCCAGTACGACACCGATATACGGTGCCCCACGCCCGATCCCGTCCGATGGAAGCCGCAGTCCGAATCTTTCTGCTGCTAGCCTAGGCTTCGAGGTCGAACATGTCTCGAGACCACCCTCTGCGATGGGAATGAATCGGCCTCCAGAGCCTGTGTTGGATCCCGAGTTCATGTATCGCGAACATGTATCGAAGCTGATTGGTGCGAAGTCGAGGCCGTGTAGTGTCTCGGGGAGGATCCCGCTCGATCCGTCTCATCTGGTGCTGTTCTTTCGATCCAAGGTGCGCTCCATGAAGTTATTACGTCTATGTTTTTGTAATCACAATTCATATAGACCGGAATAACTCATTCTCTGGACTTCCCTATCGATATCGACTATAACACCCCACCTGCACTCGATGTTCTCATCGCCGCCTGCAAAAGAACGCAAACTCCCGGCTACGACACACAACTATATGAATCATTTTACTATCCACCCAACCTCCCACTCACCCCCTCTCTCGAGATCGCCAACCATCCTATCCTCGATGCTATCCGGAAAATGCTCTTCCCAACGCTCGCCGTCGGCCACCACCTCACCGTCCGCCGAGAGAAGCTCGACGTCCTCCTCGCAGGCAGCCGCATGCCTCCACAATTACGCGCAATGAACAACGACGGGCGCGTCGCCACGCTTTCTATCACCCTCCCCGTGCGCTTCCGCGGCGGATCGCTCGTCATCCGGGACAGCGAGGGGAGACAGGAACGGCTCGATACCGCCGCGCCCACAAGCGATTTGGAGTGGACGGCCTTCACGGAGAGTGCGATTATGAGGTGGAGACGGTTACGAAGGGACTGAGGATGTCGATTTCTTATGCTGTTTTTGCGAAGTCGTTTGGCGCGACGACGGCGCTTACTCCGGATCCGCTTTTCACGCCGAACCAGCCTTTCCTTGATCTGTTCCCTCCTGTGTTGCAGATGTCTCGTGGTCGGAAGATTGGGTTCCTGCTCTCGCATGATTACGATGTGGATCCGTCGGTTGTGTTGGCAGAGTCTCTGGTACCGCTCGTGAGTGTCTGTCTTATTTTCTGTCCAGTTATGCATTTTCACTCATCGTTTTCTGCATGTACCTAGCTCCGAGGCGGCGACTCAATGCTCTACCAAGCCTTCAAGCTATTCAAACTCGCACCAATGCTGCACTGGACCGCGGGAGGCTACATCTGGCCCGTCGACCGTCCCGTCGAGCTCTCCAACGACGATCCCAGCGCCGCTCAACGAGCAGCGAACGGCTCTCCCCTCCCGCCCATACACGGCGCCTTCAGCAACTCCTCGCCATTCGGCTACTCTCCCCACATGCCTGGTGCCCTTCCCGCGCAGACGACCGCGGATATGCTGCGTCTGCGCGTGGAGGAGAGCGGCGCGGTGCCGCTTGCGACGGCGGAGGTGAATCTGTTGACGGATTGGCGCGCGCAGGAGAGTCCCCTTGTCGGCAAGGCGAGGGTGCATTTCGTGGAGGCGGGGTTGTTGGAGAAGTTGGTGGTGAATGTGGTGTTGGTTGCGTATGTGCATTGAAGTATGGAGTGTTTTCTTCCTGTTATCATGAGTGGAGTTCTTCGCATTTGAAATTACTGTAATGCTTCGGCTGGAAGCAAAGGGAGAGCATGTTAGAGCTCATACACAATAACCTAAAGCCCGAGTGGAAAGATAGAGAGAGATAGAGTCAAAAATGTTGGCCTCCCGTTCGATTCGGGAACGGGTCATGCGCTCGTCGTTTGCCTCTTTCTTTTTCTGATATTCGGCTTGCGCCAGTGCTGTTCAATCCACAAAACCCACTACCGCGACTCATAACAATAATCTAACCCACGCAAAAAACAAAATAACGCAAGGGTAAATCTTACATCCCACCCAAAAATGAGATACGTCTGAATCGGATTTGGTACGCTGAAACTGCGTCTCGTCCCAGAGGTTTTGAACGCAGGAGGTTTCTTGCAGAGCGAGGCATAGACACAGTCGCGCCATGCAGAATAGAGGAGGACGGCGAAATTGTTGCCTTCCGGACTGTGGAAGATAAGTAATCATCAGTGCCTTGAGGAGAGAAATATCGAAAAGACTGAAAATCACTGGCATACCTCCCACTCGTCCACGGCATCGTATCCCACCACCCAAGCGGGTTAACGGCGGGCGTCACAATCCCGTCCCTCGTAACATGCGGAGTTCCCGCACTGTCATTCCCAGCCAACACCTCACGAATCCCATCCGCCCAAGCAATATACGTCTCGGCGTCAAACATATTAGAAGCGTGTACCACCATGCGATACGCTACCGCAGCTAACATCGCGCTCCCCGAGATCTCGCCGAATCCACGTCCGTTATGATCACCCGATACGTTGTCAATGTCGAGGTAGTTACGGAGCAACCCCTGTTCGAGCTGCGACGCGCGCGCGCCGTCGAGGATCTCTTTGATCCAAGCGCTGAGGTCTTTGATTGCGGCGGGACACCACTCGCATTTGTCGTCCTGGGCGGCGGGGGCTTTGAGTAGGGTAGCGAGGACGCGCGCCATACCCATTGCCGCCCAGCCGTTCCCTGTACTCCAGGGTCGTGGATCGGCGCCTTGGGGACCGACGATGTGTCGCCAGAGGCCGTTGGTTGGGGAGGTGCCGATGGGGGAGAAGGATGTGGAGGTTGAGTTGAAGAGGAGGATTTCGCGGTAGAAGCCGCATTGGGAGTAGGCTGAGTGCAGGAGGGATAGATCGTTGGTGTCGGCAGCGTAGTATGCGATGAATGGAGGTGCCTGGGGTGATATTAGGCATCTTAAGCCGTACCAACAAAAACAAAGAAGACTGACCATGAACATGAAATCCGCCCTATGTGACGCATATGTGAGACTTGAACGCGAAATTAATGTGAAGTAGGGACAGTGAAACTTACCAAATATTTGGGACATCAGCGCGTTGTGAGATAGCGCCATTAGCCCATCGAGGAGCCTTGTTCATCAGGTAGTCGATTTCGCTTGCCGCGGCGCTGGCAAAACGGGCATCGGTCTTCCCGAGTAGCACAGCGCCTACGCCAAGACTCGCCGGGTCGCCCGTAGCACCATCACCATCCGCCAGACCATTAACGCCCGATCCCAGAATGATCTTCTGTTCAGCGTATACAAGAGCAGGGACGTGCGAAGAGGGTAAGTTCGAAACAGGAAAAGGTGTGGGTGCGAATACGGAGAGTAGTGGCGAGTTGAGCTCGAGGTAAGCTTGTACAGCGGTGCCAAATTCCCAAGAATGGCTTGGGAGTAACTGGGCTTGCTCTGCTACTGCGGTGATGTTGAAGCCGGGGTCGAAAGGCGTTGGGGTGAAGGAGGAGGAGGAGATACTGGTCAGGATTGAGTTGAGGAGGTAGGGAAGCGTATGATTAGCGGGTGACATGACCTGCCCGGAAGGTGAACGTACAAGCGAGGTGGGGTTGTTATCTGGATGGCACGAGGTTATATATGAGAACGAGCGTGTTGTAATGCG